TAAGAGAATCGTCATGGTCATTAAGCAAATCATGCAGTTGTTAAATGAATTCAGTTTCCCCAATGGACGTTTTTTTTTGCTGGAAATCAGCAAAACGGTTGCACATTGTGATCAGATCACAGCAGAATGCTGAAACCGGTTGTAAATGCAAGCTGGTTTCCAAGCCCTCAAATTGTGACATTGTGACCATGAAGGTGATGTGATGGTTTTAAGTGTGAGCACAGGTGATAAATCACTTTTTCCAAGGCTACCATAACTTTGAACTATAACAAATATACTAAGTTGTTGACTGCTTATAGTCAGAACTTGTGAATAAACATTCTGTAGGGAAGTGTTTTTTAAAAAATTGAGTAGCCTGTTTATTGTCTTTTGGGAACAGTATTGCCTGCTTTTTCCTCCCCAGAAAAGTGGCAAATTGGGCATTTTTTTGAACCAGAAAAACTGCAAGTTGTTTTTGTTTTCTTCCTTTTGTCTCAGGAATAAGATTTCCCAAGTAATTTTGAAATGTGGGAAGAAATTATCAGAACCAGCCATGAACTTTCTGTATTTTGAATGCTGGTTCAAGGTTGTTTCCTTGCAAAACAATTTCCTTCGTAATGGAGGAAAAACATATTTTTATTGGTTTTTCCAAAAGCTTCTACAGTTCTAAGATAAAAGGGAAATGAAAAAGCACACATTGATTTCTGGGATGATGTCATGTTTTACTCAAGTGATAAGTTTTTCATGCCTTTTTAAAGAAGAATTTCGGTTGCTGCCAATTTTAAGATATATCTGTTGAGCTTAGGCATCAGGATTTTCTATTTAGAAATGGAATTTGTTCATTTTATTTTCATAATTGTATACTTTGTTCCATAGTCAAAAAGCAAGGAATTCAATAAAATCTCAATAAAAATAACTAATAAAAACATAGAGAAGAGGAGCTGCTTTTTGTTATGTGTTCCTAGATCTAATCAAGACTTAAGATGACAACTAAATCATTTATTTACTTAAAACTTAAGTAATTAGGACTTGCTGTTGTTCAAAAGCTTTTAAAAGTCTACCTTGAATAGAGCTAATGTCATACAGTATAAGGTAAAATTAAAGCATCTATATCTGTGATGGCGAACCTATGGCATGCATGCCAGAGGTGGCACACAGCGCCCTCTCTGATGTCATGCGAGCAGGCGCCCCAGTTCAGCTCCACTGCACATGCGTGTGCACCTCTTGCCGGCCAGCTGGAGTTTGGGTCTCTGCTGCGTGCGGGGTGCGCATGCATGCATGGGGCATGAGATGCATGTGGAGAGCCCATGTGCGCATGCAGGGGGGTGGGGCACATGCGCAGGGCCCGTGCACATGTTGCATTGGGGGGGCTCAGGCGCGCGCTTTGGGCACTCGGTCCTGAAAAGATTAGCTAATCTATACGTATCTATGTGGTTGCTAAGAGTTGTTGGCACATAATCACATAATCAGTGATATATTTAAAATTACACTGCAATCAGAAAATCAATCGACGCCATGGGATTAAGAACAAAACATATTTTGATCTTTTAAGTATTATATTTATATTTATATTACGCATCAATATGGATATAAAATATGGGCAATATACAGCATCAGTGGAAGCCTCTCCAAAATATCTCAGTTACTATATTAAATTGAATGTGAAATTTTTTTGATTCAATTAAATATATCAACTGAAATATTTTGGGGAGACTTCTAGAGATGCTATGTATTGCCCATTTTTTATATCTGTATTGATACTTTATTTGTCATTTATCTATCATAAATGACAAATTTAGTTGAGTATCTTCAATTTCCCAGAGGCTATTAAAGAAGGACCAGTCTATTCTTCGCCAGGGAAATAGTCCCAAGCAGTCAAATCATTATGAGGAGCAGTTCCTCTTTTCTTTGGCTCTCCTCACCTCCTAAAAATATGGAACTAGAATGGGTTTCTCTCTTTTTTAAAAAAAAAATATTTTTTTATTTTTACTATATAAAGAAAGAGCAACAGTTCCAATGTCTATATAAAACAGTGTGTTATCTGGTTACTGTTAATTTAAGAAATAGTCATAATAATGTTCATTAGTAGTGATCATATAATAACAGTATTTTCTCAACATAATATTAATACTTAATTGTTAATACTAAATCATATTAACAATAAACATATAATAAACCCTCATGGTAAAATTAATCCTTCTCTTGTAAGATACGGAATATTTTGAAACATGGGATTCATTTTATCAATGGTTAAATAACAGAAACAGAAGTTAGAAATATTTAGAATGGGTTTTCTCCTTGACCAGTCTCCTAAGATTCAGGACTGATTCAGGTTAGAAGCATCTTGGAAGCAACATTGAAATGGCTTGCAATTGGTTTTTTCCGCATCATATTGTTTCAGCTAACCTTACTTATAATTCAGGTATTAGAATTTGGCCTCCAGTTTAAATTTTGGCCATTTATTTTATAATAATAATAATAATAATAATAATAATAATAATAATAATAATAATAATAATAATTTTATTTCTATACCGCCCTTCTCCCGAAGGACTCAGGGCGGTGTTCAGCCTATTAAAAACACAAAAATATACAGACATCAATTAAAAAATAATTAAAATTATTAAATAATTTCGGCCAAATTAAAACCCAAAAATTTAAAACGCATAAAATTTATATTGCTGCCTCCTCGCACATGGTGACTCAAAGATATAAAACACCATATTAAAAAAGAAAAAGAAAAAGAATAATAAAATAAAACACTAAGCTTTTTGACACCAACCAAGGATGAAAAACACTTGGTAAGGATTCCCTCCCCCGTTCCTTAATCAATCTGCACTTTCAGAATGCTTTGAACTTCATTAGCAGCAAGAGATTTATTAGTGATGTAGTGAAATCAGTTGGGCCAAAATGGTTTGTGGGGGGTTGGTTGGTTTGTGATTCTGCTTATCTTTTTTAAAGCTCTAGGTCAGTGTTGGTGAACCTTTTCGGCACTGAGTGCCAAAATGGGAGCGCACATTCCAGAGCATGTGCTCTGGAAGAGCAGCTACCCAGTTTCCGGTGCACAATGGCCACCTGGTCTTCCAGTTTCTGACGTGCATGTGTACACAAAGATCACCTTGCTGATGCAAGAGAGCCAACTGTTGTGGCTCCATTACCTGAGCCTGGGCTATCGACAGATGCAGACTCTGAGAGTGAGGGAGGGGAGTTGGCAAGGCCTCCCTCTCCAGGACCCTCCTCTCTGGCAATGCCTCCGGAGGACACCGAAGGCCAAGAGATAGGCCCAGAGCCAAGCACGTCCCCGCAGCCACAGGTGGACAGCGACGAAGGAGATAAGTGCTGGCTGGATCCTCGGCAGCGGCGCAGGGAGAAGTGTGCGCAGCAGAGGGGAAGGTGTGCCAGAGATTAGCTGAGTCACTGGACCACACCCCACAGGGTATAAATGTGGGTGTGGTGGCTGGTTCAGTTTGTGACGAGCAAAAACTAGAAATAATCCATGATCTCTGCGTTACTGGACTTCTGTCTGCCTTGTCGGACAGCATTTGGACTAATCCTTGTATTGTTGAAACTTTGCCTGCTTTATCGGAATGCTTGCAGTCTAATTTTTGTTTTGTGTGAGTAAAGTCTGAATTGGCAGCTAGCCACTGGGATGCTGCCAGCTTTATCTTCAAAGATTTTGTTGTGTGGCTTATTAACTCCGGGCCTTCTGTGGGGGTGCGTGTGTGGGACGGGGACAGAACATCAACTCTCCGGGCACGTGAGCTGTCGACCATTGCTGTTCTGGGTTCCGGTGCACCGGCCAGCTGGTTTTCATGCACGTGGGAGCACCAGAAACTGGAAGAGCAGCTGAGAAGATGATCTTGTGGTTTCCGGCACGTGCATGCCTACCGGCCATCTGGTCTTTGTATGCGCATGCATGCCAGAAACTGGAAGACCAGGTGGGTGGTGCGTATGTGCATGCCGGAAACCGGAAGAGCAGCTGCCTGGCTTCCAGTTTCTGGCACTCCCATGTGCATGAAGACCAGCTGGCCAGCACACCGGAACCTGGAACAGCAACGGGCGACTGCTTGCGCGCCCGGAGAGATGGCTCTGCATGTCACTTCCGGCATGGGTGCCATAGGTTCACCATCATAGCTTTAGGTCGATTGTTTAAGCCCAGGAGAACTTCTGCGATTAATCTTTGAAAAGAATGAATGAAAGAAACAAGGCAATAATCAGCCTGTTGAAAGTTGGAGTTTCTCCTCTAAATTTTGGCAATACAAACTTGGGAGGCGGGGGCTTCCTTGATTGGAAAAAAATGAAATTGGGGGCTGTGGATTGCCGAGCCTTTCTCTAAAATATGAGCTCAAAAAGAGCAGCTTGGGAACCACATGTCACCTACTATCCGCATCTGCGACTTTCAGAATGAACAAAACCAGACATTTGTGCTGCGTTTTATTGAGGAAAAGTTGTTGCTAGGGTTTTTTCTATTTCTTTGCATTTTGTGAAGCAAAATAGTGGGTGGGGAGAACTTAAACTTTGCAGGTTCACTTTGGGTTCTGGTCCTACCCCTTTTCGATGTCCGGCGAATGACAACCATTCAAACATGATGGGACAGATCTAAAGGTGGCTGACAGAGGTAACCTCTCTTTGGAGAAGAGAAGATTCTGCCGTCTGAGCTTAATTGCAGAACAAATTCTGTCTCATCTCGTTTTCCGCTGAATTTCTGCTGCAAAGGGCACCGGTGGAAGAGCCTGTGATGATAGCTATAAGCTATAAACAGGCTTGCATGTACACAAGTATCCCTTCGTATAAGAGGGGTTGTGGAAGGAATTCTGGCGACCACTGTGGCTTTTCACAACTTAAAAAAATATATAACAGAAGTCAAATAAAGTAGTTCAAGAGACATATAGAGCTTATGGTGCCCTTTATTTAAAACACAGCTCTTCTTTGATTAGTCACTCTTTTATTTGTAAAAGGAAACAATTTGTTCTTGGGAACAATATTGATCAGGTTATATACTATTTTTGCCTTTGCTCCAGAAAAACAGAAGTTTTACTTCATGGCAAGAAGTAATATCCTGCAACAGAAATTGCCCCCCAAACTGGGCAGAAGGAATCCTCATAAATTGTGACGTGCAGACCTTCAATCAGATTTTGCTGAAATGGGTTATATGGCTCGCAGTTCAGTCCTGGGATTTATTCTTAAGTAAGTATATATAGAATGGAAACTTCATTAAGTAAAAAATACAATGTGTCAGTCTATATATACATATACGTATAATTGTTTTCTGAGGTTTTCGCGGGTGTTTGTATGTAGGTCTTTGGTTATTCAGGTTTTCTCCTGTGTAAAATTGGAAGTGTCTTGGCGACGTTATGAGACTTCGTCAAAACGTCGCCAAGACACTTCCAATTTTACACGGGGAAAAACCTGAATAACCAAAGACCTATATACGTATAAGTATAGTTATAGATATAGATATAGATATGTATACATATACATATATAAATCTGCTTGCTACAGGATATTTACATGGAAGCATTGCATCAGGTATGTATTTCATTGCATTCATAATCTGTTGGAAAGGTACCCTTTAGATTAAGAAGGAACATGGTAGAGAAACATTAAGGATCAAGGGAAAGTCCAGCTGTTCCAGTTGAATAGTAAAATATTGGATGTATCGCATTGTTTTCAATTTTTCATTTCAAGCTTTTATTTTTGTTTAATTATAAGCATTTTATCAGGTGCTTTATCTAGTAGATAAAGATATCTAGATCTTTATCTAGTAGATAAAGAATCAGTATAATATGATGATGCACGGAATACATTATTTTTGGCATTTTCTTTTCTTTCCCCTTTCCTCCCCTTTTTCCTTTCCTTTCCTTTCCTTTCCTTTCCTTTCCTTTCCTTTCCTTTCCCCTTCCCCTTCCCCTTCCCCTTCCCCTTCCCCCCCTTTTTTTTTTACTCCTGGCCCCTGCCTTGACAAGTCCCTACAGTTTTCTGGCAAGGTTTTTTTGGATCTGATTTACCATTGCCTGTTTCCCAGGGCTGAGAGAGAATGACTGGCCCAAGGACAACCATCTGGCTTTGTGACTTAGACTAGAACTCAAGTCTCAAATTCTAGTCTGAAGCTTTAAGCACAACAACAAATTGGTTCTCACTCTTTCTTAGGGTAAAAGTAAAATATATTAAAATTCATATATCAGCTCTCGAGATATGCTATACTCCAGGTTTCATGGGGGCTAAAGCAGTAGGAAAAATATTTTAGCACAATATATCTGAAAGATATAAGGTCAAAAATGGTTGCTTCAAAGTGAGATAGAATACACTTGATTTGTTATGTTAGTTAATTGGTGAAATAAAATTAATTATCCTTTGAACATTATGAGAAATTCAGGATACCATTACATTCAATCTAAGTCAATGTTGAGTTGAATGGCCTTCTGAATCTAATCTATAAATCATTTTTTATTTACCTTTTAATGTATATTATGGTATAGCAAAATAACAATGAGGCTTTGTAGGGTACCCAGCTGTACTTTGCTTCTTATATCACTTTATATCAATTTATACGCCGCCCTTCTCCGGAGACTCAGGGCGGTTTACAATGCGTTAAGCAATAGCCTTCACACTTTTGTTTATACCTCCATACTTTTGTATATTTTATACAAAGTCAGTTTATTGCCCCCACAATCCGGGTCCTCATTTTACCTCGAAAGGATGGAAGGCTGAGTCAACCTTGAGCCTGGTGAGATTCGAACTTGCAGTAATTGCAGGCAGCTGGTGTCACTTAACACCACTTTAATCTGCTGCGCCACCAAGGCTCTATCCCCATATCATGCCAGCCAGAAGCATTGCTGAAGACCAAAGGGGTCCAATCTTAGCAACTTTAAGACCTATAGACTTCAAATCCCAGAATGAGGAATTCTGGGATTTGAAGTCCACAAGTCATAAAGTTGTCAAGTTTGGAGACTTCTGTTTTAGAACATGGAGCAGGAGATGGTCCTGTCCCAAGAAAGAATTGATGTGTGTTTGGTTACTTTTTTTATCTTTGTAAAAACTTTCCCTCCACAATAAATGCTTCTTGACGATTTAGCAGCAAATACCGGTAGTTGTAGGTGCTGGAGAAGACTCCTGCGAATCCCTTGGACTGCAAGGCTATCAAACCGGTCAGTTCTAGAGGAGATCAACCTTGATTGCTCTTTAGAAGGCCAAATCCTGAAGATGAAACTCAAATACTTTGGCCACCTATGAGAAGGAAGAGCTCACTGGAGAAGAGCCTAATGCTGGGAAAGATTGAGGGCAAAAGAAGAAGGGGACGACAGAGAACGAGATGGCTGGATGGAGTCACTGAAGCAGTTGGCATGAGCTTAAATGGACTCCAGAGGATGGTAGAGGACAGGAAGGCCTGGAGGAACATTGTCCATGGGGTCGCGATAGGTCAGACACAATTTCACAACTAACAACAACAACATTATAAATAATAATTGACCACAGTTTAGATTTAATATGTGCTGCTTCTTTGGGCAAACCTGGTCTTTATTTCATCTTCGGCCATGGCATCCTAATGTTCCTTCTTGCAGGGCCTCTTTTCTTTTTTTCCTGAACATGCAGTTAAAGTTATTCTTTAGGTCACCCCTATCAACATTGTGAGGCTGATTAGAGCTTTGTGACAATTTCAGGGACAGAGCTCCAAAAGCCTTTGGTAAAGGGTCTTTAATCTGAGTTAAACCGGAAGCGTCTATGGTTTCTCATCTATTACAGGGGTGGGGTACATTTTATGGCTTAATTGATAAATAGGAACCTGACCAAGCTTGTTGGAAGTCTCTGTGTTGGCAGCAAGAAAAGCCACAGCCCGCTGTTGGTATGCAAGCCTCCCAGCGCATTTGCACAGATACCCCTCTCCTGTTTGCATATACGCATATTCCTATATAACAATTACCTGTGGTTCTCCTGTCTGTTAACAGTGAGAGGGAAGAGGAATCCCTGAGGGTTGCTAATCTAAAGTGTCCTAGAATCTTGAAATAGCTTCGCTTTTGAATTTTCCAGTTGAAAAAGATGTGAATGAAATCTTCAAGGAGCACTGTTTCATGATGATCCAAGCACCTTGAAACCACTGAACGTTAAAAGTTTAAGAGTTAACTTTAAGGGCAAATGATACCCCGGGAAATGATTATTTCGGGTCACTGGAGTGGCAGTGTCTCCAGTGAAGTGCTTTTTGGTGGAGAAGCAAGAATGAAGTGAATCCCTGAGACACTTCCTGAGAGAATAGAAGAAATTAGCTTTTTCTGGAACCTAGATTTGATCATTGATTGATTGTGTGCCATCAAATTGTCAGTTCCTAGCAACAGCATAACCTAACCTGATCTTTCAAGTCCTCCAAGGGTGCACTTAGTGTTACTGTAATTGAGTCTAGCTACCTTGCTACATCCTCTTCCTCTTTTTCCTTTCACCTTTCCCAGCATTAAAGCTTCTTCACAGAGATAGGTAGTTGCATAATGTGTCCAAAGTACGATAATTTGAGCCTGGTCATTTGTACCTGGTATGAGACCCCTGGGTTGATTTTTTTCTCCAGTGATCTATTTGTTTTCTGGACTGGACACGGTATTCTCAGGAGTCTTTTACAAAACCAAGGTTCAATATAGAAAATAGAAAAGAGCCTTAATAGTACAGTGGTTTAGTGCACCCTGTTATTAACACAGCTGTCTGCAATTTCTGCTGGTTCGAATCTCTCCAAGGCTCAAGGTTGACTCAGCCTTCCATCCTTTCTAAGGTAGGTGAAATGAGGACCCAGTTTGTGGGGGCAATAAGCTGACTTTGTATAAAATATACAAAAGTATGAAGGCTATTGCTTAACGCATTGTAAGCCACCCTGAGTCTCCAGAGAAGGGCGGCATATAAATCAAATTAAAAAAATATATATATCCTTCCTAGCTTACTTCTTCAAAGTCCAACTTTCACTTCTATAGGGGATACATGGCTTGCATGATTCTGATTTTTATAAGTATAAAGTCATCATGGCATATGGATATCTTTTCCGAGGCCTTCATAGCTGCTTTACCTGTTGCTAATCTGCAGCATATTTCTTGAGTGCTTGTTTCTTTATTATTGACGGTTGAGCCTAAAAGGCAGATGCTATCCACCATTTTGACATCTGCATTGTCAGTTCTAAGACTGTTGTATCTGTGTCATTAATTTGATAGTCTTTATATTGAATTTTAGTCCCATTTTTTTTCCAGCGTAATCCTTGACTTTTATTATTACAGCTTGCAAAAAGCCAATATTTTCCTCTAAAGTCCTGCCTTGGATTTATGGCCAAGCTGTTAGAGAATCTTGTAGCTATTTGTTCAGTAGACAGTAGAGCCTAACAGTTGTTTGGGTTACTTTACCTATATTTCATGGCAAAATAAAGGCATGGAGATAGCCAGTCAAGATTTGCTTTCCCATTGACTTAATGTGGGTAACTGGACTACAAAGTGGTATAAAATATATCCAAGGAATTTATTATGGAATTTATTATGTTCCCATTGTCCTAAGAAAAGATCTTGTGTTGAGCAGCGTTCCTGATACAGTGAGAGCTGTAAACAGGACAGATTCATACAATAGTGAATGCAATTAGTGAATTAGTGGATGGATACCAGTAGAGTTCCTACATGTTTGAGAAGTGAACAGCAGAAATTACAGAAATTTCTTTACTTATTGCATGTATATGCTCCTTCTAGGAACATTTAATACATTTCAGTTTATCCAAGGATTTTGCAAAAGTAGTGAAGCCTAGTTAAAACAACAAAATTAGGGTAACTTTGCATAGGAATACTGGTGATGATAGTCACAAGTATTACTAATACAATATTACTTTTTCTTGTCTTATATACCGTATTTTTTGGAGTATAAGACGCACCTTTTTACCTCCCAAAAGGGGGTGAAAATTTAGGTGTGTCTTATACACCGAATGTAGCCCTGCCCACCCACTGGCTCCCACCCTTTGGCCTGTGCCTCGCAGCAGTTACCTCCTTGCAAGCAAACAGCAAGAAAAAACAGCTCCTTTCAGCTTCAGCATAGGTTAATTAGCACAAGTTGATTAGATCGGCCTCCCAACTCTCAGCTGATTTGCTCTCAGCTGTTCTGCAAAGGGCTCTGCTGCTTGCTGCTTGCTGGAGCAGATTTTTCCCCCCTAGCTATGCTGAAAAACAAAACTGAAAGTAAAG